CGCGTCCCTCCCCGTGCCCGGCCACCCCGCGCTCGGGACTCGCGGGCTGCGCCACGGCCCCCGGGGAGGTGGTGGGGCGGGGGCGGGGCTCTGGGCAGTGCCACCCGGGAATCGGACTCACCTGGTCGCTCTGAAGTGTCCCCCGGAGACCTGAGGCGGGCCGGGCTCAGGAATAGGGCTCTGCAGCTCGCTATGCCCCACTTACAGGAACGGAGATGGGGGGCTCAGGACAGGAATTCGAGGCTTCTCTTGGGGCACTGACTTGGTCTCTTGGCCCCTAGTTCTGCCTCCTTTCTTGGTCCCAGAGGCCTTAGGCTGGAAGGAGCCTTGCAGGCCGGGGAGACCCCCAAGTCTCTGACAGTCGATTCCTTGTTTCTCCGGCTCCAGGCGGAGCCTGCCCCCAGGAAATGACTCCTCTGGTGCCACAGGCTGGCTGGTTAACAAGTGGCACGAGCCTGCTGTTCAGATGAAAGGGGCTGAGAGAGCCACGCTGCGATCGCCACCACCGCCACCTTCCGAACCCGCCAGCCTCCGCCCACAGCCTCTCCTAGAGTAACTTGGAGCCGGGGCCTGGGCGGTGCTGCCTGGCGAGCCCTGCTTCCGGCCAGCTGGTCCTTGGAGCCAGGCAGGTGGACAGAGGGACCGTAAGGAAGTCACCCACGGGCACCTGGAGCCAGATGCCACCCCCCGGCGGGAGGCAAAGGGGACTGGCGAGTATTGGAGGCCCTGAAGCTCCCGCGGTGACTTTAAGCCGGGGCAGTTCTGGAGAGCGCACTTCAGGCCCTGTCAGCAGATCTGGAGTATAAATCAGCGCGACAGCAGCTTTTGTTCTGGGTTAAAACTTGGCATCCAAAAAGTGGAGACCAAAAAAGCAGTGGAGATAATTGAGAAAAGCAGCCCAGTTGGGCTTTAGTAACAATCGGGTCTTTGCTGGTGCACATAAAGGCCCCTTCTCCCTCCCGGGCTGAGCCACATTGCCCGGCTTCTTTCCAGCAGGAACAAGGTTGTGGCCTTGGGAGATGCTGAGACAGGGGAAAGCAGATGACCATGGGGTGGGGTGGGTGGGGCAGCCTCCTGCTGTCCCTGCCAGGAATGAGAAGATGCAGGACCCCTGCCCTCACCAGGACCAGCCCCACATCCACTAAAGTAGGGGTGCATGGCTGGGCAGCTGCCCCCACATTCTTCCTTCCTAGTATTTTTTTTGTTTTTTTTTGAAACAGGGTTTCACTATGTAGCCCAGGCTGGCCTGGAACACACAGCGCTCCTCCTGCCTCAGCCTTCTGAGTGCTTGGATTATAGGGTTGCATCACCACACCTGGCCCCTATGGGTTAGGTTTTGCAACCTGCTTTTGCATTCTCTCATTCTATCCTTTAAAAAAAATTGATGTTCTTTCTCTCATTTATTTTATTAAGAAGATGAAGCAACTGGTTCAAATTCACATAGTCAACAAGGCAGAAATTTTAAACTAGGTTTTGGGCTGGCTGCAGTGGTACCCATCTGCGATCCCAGCATTTAGGAAGCTGAGGCAGGAGGACTGCCATGATTTTGAGGCCAACCTGGGCTACATAATGAGTTAAGGACAGCCTGAAGTGAACTACATAGTGAGACCCTATCTCAAAAACTAAATAATAATAGCAGTAGTAAACTAGGTCTTGAAGCTGGGTGCTGAGGTAGACAACTGCAGTCCTTGTTCGTTACTGGGGAAGCTGAGGCAAGAGAGTTGCTTTGTTACTTGCTTGAGTCTGTAAGTTTGAGCCCGGCCTGGGCAACATAGTGAAACCCCCATCTCCAGAATATTTTGAGCTTTGGGTTTTTTTGTTTGTTTATTTTTGTTTTTTTGAGACAGGGTTTCACCCTGTAGCCCAGGGTAGCTACAAACTCATGGCAATCCTCCTGCCTCAGCCTCTCAAGTGCTGGATCACAGGCATGTGCCACTACACCTGGCTCCAAAACATTTTTTTTTTTTTTTTTTTTTTTTTTTGAGACAGGGTCTCGCTATGCAGTTCAGGCTGGCCTTGAGCTCTTTGTAGCCCAGGCTGGTCTCAAACTCACAACGATCCTACCTCAGCCTCCTGAGTGCTGGGATTACAGACATGCACCACCACAATCCAAAACTTTTTAAAAGGTAAAATAAATAGACTCCCAATCTGTCTTTTCCATAAGCAGCCATTATATCCTGACAATAAGCCACTTCCTGTCTCCCTCACCCTCAACTGCCCCCAGCCTCTAGGGTGAGGTACACCAGAGAGAGACCTGAGCTCCCTGGCTTGCCTGCCCTCCAAGGTGGCCCCAGTGGAAAGTTTCAAAGACGGTTTGGTTTCACTGGCAGGGACAGGCTTTTTCTGTACCTCAGTGGCAGGAGTCAGGGTCCGCCAAGCCAACGGTGTGGGCAGAATGGAGCAGCCTGGGGGTTGCCCCCCACTCCTCCCCACCTCCTGCACTTCCTGCTCTGTGCTCTGTATTCCCCAGCCCAGGCCGTGGGTGGGCGGGCAAGGATAAGGTTGCCTTGCATGACGGTTTGTTCATGATTCATTCTTTTTAACTAAAAGGACAACCGGTAGAAAAATGATTCCTGGCTCTTCCAGGAAAAATGAAAAAATGACTGCCAGGCAGAGGGGGTACACACCTGTGATCCCAGCACACAAGAGGCTGAAGCAGGAGGATTACAAGTTTGAGGTCAGTTTGAGCTCCATAGTGAGCTCAAGGCTGGAAGTACATATCAAGACCCTGTCTCAAAAAACAGACAAAAATTACTACTAGAGGGCAGAGGCGCGTGGACTTGTCTGGCTTCCCTGGGGCTGCCTGGCACCTGCTATGGAGGGGACCCACCATCAGGTGTTGACAGATGCCCTGTTCGCCCCATTTTCTCAAATGCTGGTGGCCAAGTAGGAAAATGCAGAGATGCGCTACAGGCCTCCCGGAGAAGCCGGTCCTCGAGCCCTCCCGTCAGCCATGGGCTCGCTTGACCTACTCACCTGCCACTCTTGCCCGTGGCACCCTGGCAGGAGGGAGGGGACCCCACTGTGCACACTGGGGTCTCCAGTGATGGCCGCCTGATCTATTTCCAGAGCTGCTGTCCACCCACTGCTGGGAACATGGAAAAGCCTGGGCCACCCACCCTTTGGGGAGCTTTCTGAGAGCTGGGGACCCAGGCAGTGGGGACACAGGAAAAGCACTTCCTCTCTCTGTGTCCTGTTCGAGGGGAGTTATCGAAGCCACCCACCTGGACAGCCTTTCCCTTCCCACCCCGCTGGGCCACCAGCCACAAACAGAAGCAGGAAAACATCCGTCAGCACAGCCCCGGACGCTGCTGTTCCAGTGGCTTCCATCAGGATGTGCCCTGCCTGTCCCCAGGGCTTTGAGGGCCCAAGACCTGGACAGCAAGGGCTGAAACCACTGGTGGCGTCACTTGGGTCTCTCGGCCTGGAGGGGGAAGGGTCCCCAGCTGGTCCCAGAGAGGGCCCGTTACAGGCCCAGGAGACAGCATGCGCCCTTGGGTGACCCCACAGCGCACACCTCCGTTCAGGTTACAGCCAGGTCTCTGGAGGCTCCGAAGTGTCACCCACGCCTCCTGTCCTTGGTGTCTGTTTCTCTCTTGGGGATGAGCATGTTTGGGGAGCAAGGAGCCAGGCTGGGGCGAAGGGCTCCGGGTGTCTGCACCGAGGGACAGCTCATCCCCTTCTCTGAGCCAGCTAGGGGCAGCTTCAAGACCTGGAAACTCCCCGAGCAGCCTCTCGGGCCTCCCGGCTCGATCTCTGCCCCTGGCAGTAAGAACAAAGCAGGGAAATTTCAAAGGTGATTTCCAGGTTTCCAGAAGAAATTGAGTAATTTAAGATTAACTGTCGGGATGTACGTGTTGGTGTCAGACCAGGGGAGGCTGCAGGGATCGGGGTCCCCAGATCCAGCTGCAGCTGACCTGGTCCCTCTGGCCTGCAGTGGAACCCAGCCAAGAGGGCAAGGGATGCAGTCAGGGAGAGAAACCAGAACTCACAGCAGCCCTGCCCGGGAGTTCAAGCCACCCTGGCCCTGGAACGGTTTCTTCCACCTCTCATTTGGCAAATGAGGCAGAAAAGATGTCCAGTTCTGGACTCTGCCTGTGCTTGTGCCCTCTGAATAATAGATGCCCCTCACTCCTGGCATCCTAGGGACCTAGAAAGGGAGGCAACTGCACTGGTCACGTGCACGCAGGGCCATGGGCCTCAAGGTCCTTTTGCATAAAAGACAGCAAAGGCAGCTGGGTGTGGTGACACATATTTGTTATCCCAGCACTTGGGAGGCTGAAGCAGGAGGATCTCCAACAGGCCCTGCCTCCAAAAAAACAACAAAACAAAAATAAACAGCAAAAGCTGTGCACATCAGCCACGGGAAGCTCCAAGGTAGGCACCCAGGGTGGAGCAGAGGCGTAGGCACAGGCCACTTTGGCAGGGGGAAGCCTCTGCCACTTCTTAACTTCCTTGTACGCTCCCTGCAAAGCCCCATCCCAACCAAGAGTCAGGAGAGAACAGAGACCAGTGTGCTTTCAGGGTCAGAGGAGGGGCACACACCCAGGGGCTTCCCGGGTCACAGAGGGCCACGCAGTTCTCAAGGGCTTCTTGTGGGAGACACCTGGTACCCGTGAGGGATGGCGCCCACAGAACTGACCTGAGGCCAGGCTGAAGGAACCACTAGCAGGGTCTGGAATTGTCTGCCTGCTGTGGCGTTGATATCGGAGGTTGATAAATTAAATCAAGCATAATTACAGCCCGGATCCACCAGCTCACTGGGTAGTCTCCTCGGCAGGGGCGGGAGGGTCCCGGAAAATGTCCCGTCCCTGTTCCCGTGGTCTGACAGGGCCACAGGGTGAAGGTTCCTGCCTGGGTGTTACAGGGAGTCCCCGGGTGCTGGGAGCAACCGTTCAGGTGAGGATGTGCAGGCCCCGGGCACTGGGCTGGGCATGAGCCCTGGGGACAGGAACTGCAGGAAGTCTCCCACGCCACTGAGGCTGAAATCAGACTTTAATATGCACAAAGGAACCTCACATTCACAGCCGGGAGAGAGGAAAGGGGTGGGGGGGTGCGGCTGGGAGGATCGGGAGCCCCAGGAGCCAGTGCGCAGACAGAGGCCTTGGGGGAGCGGGAGCCCAGGGAGGACGTGGCAGGGCCCGGACAGCCCGGGCCAGGTGGGGGTGGGACAGCGGCACGGTGAGGTCCCCGCTTCCTCAAGCTGGTCACGTGTGGGTCTCCCTAGACTTCGCTCATTGCCTGCTGCAGCTTCCTGAGCCTGGTCGCTTCCGGCTTGAGTCAGGAGCCAGGGCTGGCCTGCCCTTGTCCCTCAGAGGTCCTTCCAGGGCCTGAAGTACTTGGCCTGTGGTGAGGACACAAACGGGCTGTGACGGTGGGGCCGGGGCTGCCCACTGCCCGAGGCCCGGATGTGCAGTGCCGCCACAGGCCTGCTCCGCGCCAGGCGCTGGGGGAGCGAGGCTGCGAAGGCTCTGGGCCGCGTGGCGCCAGGAGGGCTCTGCGGGGTCCCCATCCCTGGCCAGAGGGTGCTTTCTCCCCACACAGTCATGCTTCCCTGAAGAGACTGGTGTGATCCGGTCCCTGGGAGACCCAGCTGTGCTCCAGCTTTCCCAGGGACTTGCGAAATCTGAGCCCCAAGCCACAGCCTGCGGCCAGCATGTCAGCCCAAGTCAGGGGTTATGGGGCAAGGAGAAGAGGGGTGTAAGGAGGGGCACCCGGGAGCCCTTCAGCTGCGAGGCAGGGAGGGACATCCCCACAAGGGCTGGGGGCTCTGGCCCGGGACCTCAAGGAAGCCCTCAGGTGCTGCGGGCGGACTCGGGCGCCAGGAGGGAGGCTGCTTGCATTCCGGGTCAGGCTGGCTCTGGGCCCTGATTGTGACATTCGCTGGAGCTGTCTGTGTGACAGGTCACGCTATTTAACTTGGTTAGCTTGCTTTTCTGCACATGAGCTCCCACCATCAACTGCCTCACGACAGTTATGTGGGTGCATACAGAAACAGGTCTCATGTACACATTTTAGCTGGGCGTGGTTGTACATGACTTTAACCCCAGCACTCAGAAGGCTGAGGCAGGAGGATCCACTGGGTTCTTGCTGGTGAGTTAAAGGCTAGCCTGAACTATATAGTGAACTGTCCACAAAACAAAACAACTCAAGTTCACTAACTCGGGGTGTGGTAGTATTGGCCTGGAATCCTAGCACTTGGCAGGCTAACGCAGGAGGACTGCCAGGAGCTCAAGGGCAGCTTGGGCTACATAGTGAGTTCAAGGCCAGCTTGAACTACAGAGCAGAGACCCTGTTTCAAAAAAATTTAAAAAAAAATTTTTTGAGATGTGTTGCCACTGAGAGGGTCTGAGAAAATGTGAGAGATAGATAATGTTGCTCCAGAAATCAGAGGGGAGCCCAGCAGCCTGCAGTGCTCCTCCAAACCGAGTAGGAGGCCAGCCTGAGGTCTGCAGGACTCCCCATGGCCCTACCCTGGGCACTGGGTTCTTGCTAAGAATCCCAACACCCTTCCCAGGAACCGCCCCCCGCATCCACCCATCCTGGCCAGGAGTGCAGCAGCTGTCCCTAGGGGGTGGACATGCTGCTGGCTCTGGTCAGCCCACCCGATTATTTCCCTCACTGCCCAGGGATGGGGCTTCAGGGCACCTTGGGCTGGCAGTGGGCCAACAGCTCCTGCCAGCGGATGTAGGTCTGGGTGGCCAGGTCCTTGAGCCGGGTGCGGTGCATGGCTTGGGGGCTCTCCCGGATGTGGGTGTTGATGTGGCGGTCCAGCTGCATGCACAGCAGCTGCAGCTCACCCTGCCAGGCCAGGGCGGAGGCGGAGGTCAAAGGTGAGGGTGCTGAGCAGGCGAATCCCGCACCCCAGGGCAGGCAGAAGGGAGAACAGGTGTGTGCGTGTGAGAGAGAGACAGACTCTGATTGACAGCTCAGGAATAGGGACAACTGCTGGGCATGTGGGTGAGGACCCCCTGGGAACAGCTGTGGGACACAATGGCGGGTGTGGCCCCGCCGACCCTGTGGGACACTCACCCAGTGCTCCGGAGTGACGTCCTGACTGCTGACCACCACGCCAGCCAGGGTCAGGAGGCTGTGGCACAAGTAGCAGACCTAGGGAGGGCACAGAGACTGGCGTCCCTAACTTAGCCCTGCCTTGCCCGTCCAGCCCCGTGCTCTGGATTTTGTGGGGTGCAGCCCTGCCTGATGGCTGAACCCCTGGTTTGTGTCGCTGTGACAGATACTTGAGGTACATCAGCTCCGAAGAAAGAAGTGGATGCTGGGGTTCAAGGCTTCGGGACTTCAGTCCATGGTGAGCCGGCCCCAGTGTTTTGATCCTGGTACGTTGTGGCTGGTGGTAGGGGTCACGTGACAGAGCATGCCTGCTTCACTGCAGCCTCCCGGAAGCAGAGAGAGAGAGAGGAAGGGGTAGATTCCAACGTCTCCGTCCACGGCACCTCAGTGACCTAACTTCCTGCACAGGCTGATGACAGCATTTGCACATTTCTATGCCCTCACCACCAACTCCACTCTTTTTTTTTTCTCAGTACTGGGGATCAAACCCAGAGCCTTTGCACTGAGCTATATCCCCGGTCCTTTTTAAATTTTTTATTCTGAAACAGGGTCTTGCTAAATCACCAAGTTGCCCAAACTGGGATTGAACTTTTTTTTTTTTTGTCTTTTTGAGACAGGGTTTTGTTCTGCAGTTCAGGCTGGCCTTTGACTCACTTTTTAGCCCAAGCTGGCCTCAAACTTGCAGCAATCCTCCTGCCTCAGCCTCCTGAGTGCTGGGATTACAGGTGTGTACCACTATGGTCAGTTTGGGTTTGAACTTTTGATCCTCCTGACTCAGCCTCCTAGAGTGCTGGGATGACACCTAGGTGTGTATCCCACGAGACCTGGTGTCCACTCTCGTTCTTGCTACAGAAGCCTTGAGAGGTGAAAATAGGACAAAGGGCAATTCTGTCTGGTCAGAGAAGGGACTGAGCCCAGGGCACCCTGGGGCTCTGCTGGGTCCCCGTCAGTTACTGGACATTAGCTCCCTGTGCAGAGAAATGCGACGCAGGCAGCGTCCCAAGGGCAGCTGGGTCCTGGCATCTGAACTCCGGCAGCAGGCACAGGCCCCCACCCAGGGCTCCTCATGCCTGCTCCCTTTGGGCTCCTTAGCCGCAGATAAGGAGAGGGTGGGAGGGGCTCCGGGAGGCTCAGAACCAGGCCAGGCCCTGTGCTCACGTCCCCCCCATCGACCCTCATCCCTCTGGGAGGACCAGGTGGCATCCCAGGAACAGCAGCTGCCTCTCTGCGCCTCCCCCAGGAGCCTCTCTAGGACAGAATGACAGCCACTTCCAAAGGAACCGACTTGGCACCGTGAATATTTTAACCATTTTGCTCTTTTGCTGTGCTGGGGATTGAACGCAGGGCACTCTGCCGCTGAGCTACTTGCCCGACCTTTTTTGAAACAGGGTTTCACTAAGTTGCCTTGGCTGGGCTCAAACTGGAGATCTGCCTGCCTCAGCCTGCCAGAGTGCTGGGATCCCAGGAGTGTGCCATGACACCCAGCTCTCCTTGCACCTTTGTGCAGCAGGCCTTGAATCTGTGCTGTCCTTCGACTGAGACGCAACCTCCCCACTGGGAGGAAGGGAGCAGCTTCAGGAAGGCAAACACTTGGCCACTGACCCAGAACCAGTTCCCATAGACCAGAGGGAGAAAGGGCCTTCTAGGTTTTCCATTGCGGGGGGTGTGCATGATTAGGGGCTCAGCTTGAGGATCCGGGGAGGAAGTGACTCAGGTGAAGTGGGCTTTGAATACCAGTGGGATCTGGAGCGAATATGGCACTGTGGGGGCGGAGGTGTGCAGATGACAACACCAGACAGACAGGCCCTGAGCACTGGCACGGGGACGAGGCAGCCAGCGTGGTGGTGCATGCCTGTGTCCCAGCACTGGGAGGCTGAGGCAGGAGGATAACCACGAGTTTGAGACCAGCCTGGGGTACATAGCAGGACCCTATCCCAAACCAGCAAGCAAGCAAGCAAGCAAACAGAGGCCGGATGTGTCAGGGGACGGACCAGATGGTACCCACGAGGCTGGCCTTCCAGGGCCGGGCCACACCCGCACACGCCGTGCTCATCCCCTCTCTGAGCCATGCATGGTTTGCTCTTGGCATCAGAATACAGTGGAAGCTGCAGTTCCAGGGCACTGGATAAGACGCCCGCTGTGACTGCTAGGTGAGGCCAGTGGGGGCTGGGGGGTGCGGCCTCGGCCTTGGTGGGAAGCCCAGGGCCTCTTCACATGGAACAGGCTGATGCTGAGGGGGTAGAGAAAACCCCGAGGGCCGTGGAGCCGTGGGGTCGGGCACTGTAGGGGACACGCCGGGCAGGTGGGGGCAGCACCTCTCCCGCCTTTTGCTCCTGGACACCTCCCCCCTCCCGAGTCTCCAGTCCCCAAGGGTCCCCCAAGGGCTAGAAGGCTGAGGTCTTAGCACTGTGCTCTGCTGCGGAGTTTACCTTCCCTGAGGGGCCGGAGGGCCTGCAGAGCCGGGGGTGCCTGGGGCGTTTAACCCCCAGTGGGAATTTACGGAGGGGAAGAAAGCCAAGGATCTGGGATGTCTGATCTGTCACTCGGGTTTCATAACTTGGTTCGTATACTGATTCCCATAGTTGAAGCTGCAGGGAAAATCCCAGGAAACTATTCTGCGCATGAGTGTGTGTGTGTGTGTGTGTGTGTGTGTGTGTGTGAGAGAGAGAGAGAGAGAGAGAGAGAGAGAGAGAGAGAGAGAGAGAGAGAGGTCCAAAGGAAAAGCCCTGTAAACCACATTTTATAGAGCGACTTCCTCCAAAGGAAAGAAACAAACTGGCCAAGCGCTGGGGTTGGTGTATGTCCCACTATCCCATCTGGGGCTCTCCCTGGCACTGGGCCTAAGGAGGGGTACTGGGGGTCAGACCAGAAGTCCTGGCCAAAGCTGGGGTCCACAGTGGTGCTTTTGAAAAAAACAAAACAGCATGGTGACACACACCTGTGATCTCAGCACTACGGAGGCTGAGGCAGGAGGATTGCCATGATTTGGAGGCCGGCCTGGGCTACAGAGTAACTTCCAGGCCAGGCAGGACTACATCGTGAGACCCTATCCAAAACATAAAACAAAACCCTGTTTCAGGTTAAGGATGTAGCTCAGAGGCAGAGTACTTGCCTAGCACTCAAAGGGCCCTGGGTTCCACTCCCGGCAATGCAACCAAAAAACAAAACCAGTTTCCTTGCGGACACCCCAGCCCCCAGGTCCTCTCACTTCCAAGATCCTGGCTTCCTGACAGCGCTCCTTGCACAAAGGTCAGAGAAGAACGTCAGCACGAAGCATGGCCTCTGGGGTATGGGGAAGCAGAACCTGAGTCTTCCTCCTCTTAAAATGCCCCTGGGCAGCCAGGTGTGGCAGCACACGCCTGTAGTGCCAGCACTCAGGAGGCTGAGGCAGGAAGACCTTGAGTTTGAGGCCACACAGCAAAAGCCTATTTAAAAAAAATAAAAACAAATCAAATGTCACTTCAGGGGACAGGAGGCCAGCCAAGGCACAGCGCGGGTGTGGAGGGCTAGCAAGGGGGCCACCGCTTGGGACGCTGAGTAAACAGCAGCTGCACGCCAGCTTCCTGCTCTGTCAATTTCTGAGTTCAGCAAGCCTGCTCCTGTCCTGGCTGGCACCTTAGACAGCATCTCCCTTTTCTTCTTCTTCTTCTTTTTCTTTTTTTAAATTTTGAGACAGGAGCTCACTGTGTAGGTCAGGCTGGACTCGAACTCACAATGTAGCCCAGGCTGGCCTAGGACACTCAGTGATTGTCTTGCCTTGGTTTCCTAAGTGCTGGGGTGACAGGCGTGCGCCACCACGCCTGGCCATTTTCCCTTTCAAGAAGCAGGAAAGGGCGGCCAGGGCATGGCCGGCGTGAGTGAGGCCATGGGCGCCCCCTGCCTACATGCCCACTCTACCCACTTCCTCTTCTGCTGGGGAAACAGCCAGCCTAGGGGAAGCCCCTCCAGCGCCTCCCACCTGCTGGGGACTCAGGCTGGCCGCGACAGGAAACAGGACCAGGAAATCTCCCAATGATGCAGAGCGCCAGAGCGCTCGGGTGAGGTGCTGGACGTGCCTGGACCCGGCGGGACAAGATGGGGCCTTGCCGTCCCCTCCGCGCCTCCAGCAGGGCCTGGCCCCTCCCTAAGGGTGGTGGGGGGCTCTTCCCAGCTGCTGTGGGCGTCCCATTCCCGGCTGCAGAGCCTCGCAGCCCTGGGGGAGGGTGGTGAGGTCGGGAGACAGTGGGCGGCCCGCAGGCCTGGCACCGCCCCTGAATCCTGACCCCAGGAAGCCTGGTTTTGTCATAAGAAGAAAGGGAAACTGGGGCGTGTGGGGCTGCACTTCCCGGGAACTGCACCCTCCAGGAAATTCCCTCCAGTTAGTGCCAAGGGAGCTGGCCGGACACTGACCCTGCAGAAGCACAAAGCAGGAGGCGCCCAGGAAGCTCGGGCTGGAACAGGATGGTTTCTTGCACCTCAGGTCCGATCAAGGATGCAGTCTTCAAAGCCAGCCCTTCTCTGCCCAGAGACTGCCAGGCAGGCGAGAGCGCAGGGCTTGCTGTTGTTGCTGTTTTGAGGCAGGATTTATGTAGCCTAGGCAGGCCTCAAACTCACAGCAATCCTTCTGCCTCAGCCTCCTAAGTGCTGGAATGACAAGCGTGTGCCTGGCAACACGGCAGGGTCTTGCCAGGGACAAGAGGACCCTGCACGTGAGAGCGGGTCCAGCCAGGCTCTGGGGCAGTGCTAGGGTTGGGGAAGAACCGAGGGAGACCCACAGGCAGGTGCGGCGGCACACACCTGTCACCCCAGCACTTAGGAGGCTGAGGCTGGGGGATCGCTGAGAGTCCAAGGCCAACCAGGGCCACATAATGAGTTTAAAGCCAGTCTGCATTACGTAAAGAGACCCTGACTCAAAAAATTAATTTTGAGACAGGATCTTGCTAAATTACCCAGGCTGGCCTCTAACTTTCCAGCTTGAGATCATCCTGCCTCAGCTTCCCTAGCAGCTGGGATTACAGGTGTGCGCCACTGTGCCTAGCATTACTTTCCTCTCTCTTTCT